TTCAACTTCATTTTTGAAAGTCACAATGAGTTTATAAATCTTTTCTATATCATGGTGCATCTTTTGACAGAGTGGAGTCTGGGCAATGTTATATGTAACTGTCCATTCTAAATGCTTTACTTACATCATTAACCACTTGGTGTGACACTGGCCAGATAATTAAGGCAGGTTTGTTTAATATTCCAAATGAAGTCTATATGCTTATACATTAATCAAAAGTAAACTTCAAAACCTGGCTGCTAAAAAGAAAAAAAAAATCCCTTCCACAGCCTGTTTACGATGTAATTATTACTACATATCTGTTCGTGATCTGTGACTTTTTTTTAATGCAGGTCGACTATTTAAAATTTATAAAGATTTATGCTCATTTAATTATTGCATGTATAAAATTCACTCCTACACGTTATCTCGACAGAGAAAATGCTGACGAGCAATTACATTGTGATAGTTTTCCAGTAAAAAGAAAATATCTTTACAAAGAAATTGAAGAAATAATGAAAATTAACTTCAACAGGCATGTGAAAGTGGAAAAAATTAATTCTCTACGTTTGCATTGCATTGATGTCTTGTAGACACAATGGCCCAAAGGCCAAGTGAAAAGAACGATTATTTTTCCTTCTTTTGGGGGTGCATAATTCATTCATTCATTCCATAGATATATATTGAGCATCTACAATATTCTAGGTACAGTGCTAATTATGGAGAATCAGTGATTAAAAAAATACTGATCCCTGCCCTTAGGTAGGAGAGATAATATTAAACAAATATTCACACAATTAATTACACTTACGGTAAGTGATTTCTTAGAAGAGTATATGGAGCCCTGGAGCCAGAGGCCCATGACCCAGCAGCACCCCAGTGCTGGGATCAGGCTGGCCTGACTGTGAACCTTAGTTTTAGCATTTACTGCCTGGGTGACCTCGTGTCCCTGGACTCCACTTCCTCCTCAGAGCTCCCGAGGGATAACAGCCACACCACAAGGCTGCTGCGAAGATCTCATGATGCCACCAATGGTGCCTGGCCGGACCCACAGTGAGTGCTCGCTCCCCTCTCTCTCTCTCTCACATTAACCCTTCTCTGAAGCTGTCCAGAAGAATATGATCATCCGGTGACAGAATCAAGTTCCATATCCTAAAGTCTTTTTATCCTTTTCTTTGCTTATTCGCTCAAGTTCATTACGTCCCTTCGAGGAGATGAACAATAAATGTTCACAGACATCTCGTCCCATATTACAGGCACTGGAGCACTGGACTCCATTCCCTACGCTGTTTCCTAGCTTCTGAAATACTGGTGTCAGTGGTGCCTAAGAGAATTGTGTGGGCAAATATATACTGCATGAAAAAAAAAAAGTACTGGTCTTCACAGCCAAGCACGTCAGCAAAAACCTAGACAAGACAAGCTATTAAGAAGTAACGTTCCCAAGCCCTCAACCACAACTGAGACCCCAAGAATTCTAGAAAAGCCAAGGGAAGAAGGGAAAGAAAAGTGCCATCGAAAGCAGCATCTCTGTTGCATCGGACATGGAACCTGGAACTTTTCACTTAATACTTCATTAGTCCCTCCCATTTTTCTTTATTAGATAAGAATGAGGAGGCTCAGAACAGAAGCGCGCAGCTCAAGGTCCCAGGGTGCTGGAGCCCGGTGCCTGGCTGTCTCCCGAACGCATGTTCTCTCCGTTCCAGCACACTATATCGTATTAACAACCCCACGGTTATTGCTTGTTTCAATTTGCAATGCAGCAATTTAGTCATTTTAAATTAATCCTTGAAAAATCACCAAGAGATTAAAATGCAAATTTCAACATGGCTAGAGCTCAAGAGTGACTCTATGTCAAAAATCACACAAATTGGTCCTACAAAAGTTCAAATTCTCCTTAGAGAAAAAGCTTGCCTGCTTCATTTCACATTTGAGATATGAAAAATCGTTTCTTTTCCTTTTATCTCATGCATATCAAAAGTCGACCACAGGGAGGTGGTGGGAGGTGGGTGGGTATAATGGAAACAAAATGCTCTAGTTCCTTACAAACCTGGGTCACTGCACCCCACTTAGAGCAGACCTTGGGCTAATAACCTCAGGTCTGTCAGCCCTGGGTCTCTATATGTACAATGGGGCTCACTTCTACCTCTGACAGAGGAGCTAGAAGGATTTAAATGGAACCATGTATGTTAGAAGTCTGGCAGATTGTTTTATTATTCCCGCTTGGAAACAAACAAGGCCAGCCTTTTACTGGTTTACAAAGGAGGATTTAGGGGACAATGGGTCATACACAGGGAATTGGTTCATCAGTGGTAAAACCAGCAAAGAGAATGTAAATTTTTTTAAATGAGGGGGGCAGGGGAGGTGGCAGACAGTGTAGACAGGAACTAGAAGTGGGGCTATGAAGAAGACAGTTTTGTTTGTTTTGTTTTTCTCTAAACTATTTCTAATCTCAGTAATTGTGGTTTTGAAAATTAAGAAATTATCAGAATTTGCAGGTACCTTAAATTTAAATTCTTAAGGCATTCTCGGTCCTTAAAAAAAATTAAAAAGAATCTACCCTAGGCAATAATTGTAACTACAACATTATTTATAACAGCAGAAGACTGCAAACAATCTATATGTCTATTAGTAGGAGAAGCATAGTTAAAGGACTGTGGAGATTTTCAGTAAAATGTGGGGATTTTCAGTAACATATGATGGATATTTGTCTCTTCTCTCTTTTGATGCCATGCTCATCCCATCCTCCCCAAAATTCATAGTAAGAGAATTTTAAAAAACATAAACCCATAAAATAGGAGAAAAGACAACAATGGAAGAAAGACGTCAAAAGTCTTTGGAAGCCAGAAAGCAGAGGTTACTAAAGAAATGGTTCTCAGCCTGGGTCATATGCCCCCCGGAGACATTTGGTAGTGTTTGGAGACAGTTCTGGTTGTCACAGCTGGAAAAGGGTGTGCTATCGTCATCTAGTGGGTGGAGGCCAGAGATGCTGCTAAATATCCCACAATGCACAGGACAGTCCCTCAGCACAAAAATGGTCTGGCCCAAGCTGTCGAGAGTGCCAATGGAGGTTGAAAAACTGCAGGAGACTGACTTGGTGGCCAAGAAAAGGCTGAACGCTAAGGCGGGGGCCAGGGGTCAGGGAAGCAAGCGTCAAGTCCAGCTCACACCAAACAACTCCAAAAAGGTTAGGAACTGAAGACACCAGAATCTCTGAAGGCCAGGGGAAGTAGGCCAATAAAAATAAGAGTAATTTGTTCCCAAGATTCTCCTTTCTCAGCTCACACAGCTAGTCAAATGGCCTTCTAGCAACCCTCTAGAAGAATAAATATTTGCTTTCTATAAGAACTGAAACAGAAAGGCTTGGGGTATACCAGGTATAGCTGACAACAGGGGATAAAGCATTAGGTCAAAAAACGGGAGCGGGTATTAAAAGTATACATGCTAAATGTTGATATACCATAACCTACCACCCCCGTTTAGCTTCCAGAACACGGATAATTGATTTTACATTCCCTGGCAAGAGAAAACTGACTAGTCCAAAAAAAAAAGATTCCGATACTAATAGTTGAGAGTCTCCTACCCAATCCTCCCCCCTCCCTTGGAACCAGGCCTCTGATCCATCATTTACAATAACAGAACTTCATTGAACTTGATTACTTGACATTTACAATTTGTTTTACAGACAACACTTAACAGAATTTCCTTTCTGTGAATCTATAGTAGTTATGGAGAAATCACCACTTATTCCAGTATTTTTAAAAAGTAATTGAGTATATACCCATGAGAATTGAAAGCAGGGACTTGAATAGGTGTTTGTACACTATTGTTCATGTAGCAATATTCACAATAGCCAAAAGGTAGAAACAACCCACGTGTCCATCGATGGATAAGCAAAATGTAGTATGTGATACACATACAATGTTATGCTATTCAGCCTTATAAAACAGGGAAATTCTGACACATGCTACGGCACGATGAACCACAAAGGCATTATGCAGAGTGAAATGAGCCAGACACGAAAGGGCAAATATCGTATGATTCTATCTAAACGAGGTGCCTAGAGCAGTCAAATTCACAGAAAGAACTGTGGTTGCCACAGGCTGAGGACAAAGACAGAAATGGGGAATAAAGAGATTGTTTAATGGGTACAGAGTTTGGGCTGGGAAGGATGAAAAAGCACTGGAGGTGGATGTTGTGATGGTCGCACAACAGTGTGAATGTGTTTTACACCAATGAAATACACACTCGATGAGGATTAAAATGGTAAGTTTTATGTTATATATATTTTGCCACAATTCAAACAAAGTAATCAAGTGCCTAAGTAATGATGATTCTATATTTAATTCTACATACTACTATTTATAATCTGAGTAAGACATTTTGAAAAATACACCTTACGGCTAGGCTAGATATGTCATTCAGCTTGTCACAGTGCAAACATTAACCTCTGCTCCCTCAGACTCAAGTTCACTGCTTGAGAAGTGGGGGTGGGGTCCTCACACTTAGACCCACAAATACTTTATTTCACTCTCTTAAAAGTGAATGTACAAATACTGTAGAAATACAATTCCACTTGAGTAAATCTACCCTAATTTAAAAAAAAAAAAAAAAACAACTTTATATGGAAACATTTTATTTACATCGGCAAAAACTGAAAACTGCCTAAATGCACACGAGAGGAAACAGCTAAGTAAACTACACAGAGAATGGAATATTAGGCAGCCAACAAAAATGATTCTCATAAGTAAAATGGAAAAATGCTTACATAATAGGTGATTTTAATTATGTAAAAATACATTCTAAAAAGATTAGAATGAAGCATCAACATGTTAATAGGTGATTGTCTTTGAGAAATGTGAATAATAATTCCTCCTTGTCTTTATACTTTCAATACTTTTCAAATATTCTCTATTTGTTTTTGCCTTTATAATGCATTTGGGGGGGGATATAACTTTTTATTTTCTTTTAAAAATAAGTAAAAACAAAAATAAAAATTTAACTTTTTTCTCCCAAATACTCACATTCTCAGGTATGCTGGGAAGTTCTCTGGTATCGGGCACAGTAAAATAAGAATGCTGAAAAAGAAAAGCAAAAGCTATTTATTTTGGCAAAACTATGCAAGAAGCACATTATTCAGCAATCAGGTAAATGATCTGAAGATAATGCTTTACTCAGATGAGGAAACAGTTTCACTCGTAGAAAATGTCCATAAAATATTTTCTTTGGATAATGCTAGATTAAAGCCAGATGCATAAAGTCACCTGGTAAACGGAGTCATTTTCTATGAAAGATGAACTTCTTTGGGAGATATACATGTACAGCTCTAAGAGGTTAAAGGCTAAATTCCCACACAATGTTTGCAGGTTTCTGAACACGTGAAAGCTACAGGCTTCATAATTTATTGTTCAATGAGGCAAGTGGTCTCTAGGGACCAAATATCACTAGGTTCACTCAGCAATGGTCTTTACCAACCAAATCTGCCATTTCATTTCAGCATCTGAGGTTATATCCATCTACGAGCGGCAGGCAAAATCTGCTCCGCAGGCCCAAGTGATGTTAAGGGCAGCTCCAGCTGAAGGACAGCTGCGCTGAGACCATTACAGATGATTACCAGTTGAGAATTCATCTCTGCTATGCATGCTCTGCAAATAAGCCTCCTGACTTCCAGTGCAATGTCCAGTGAAGAGAGCACAATCTCCAGCTCAGTGGAATTGAAAACCTGACTTGTTCAAAGAACTTCCAAGGCAGCGTCTCCATGTAACAAGCATGAATTAAATGACAACAGGCTGAACTGATGACACCTCCTCTGTGTTACTAAAGACTCAGAGGACAATGGCTAGC